AAGTTTATCCTATGAAAATTTCAAGACGCACACTTCTGGTGTACTGTCAAGGATCGGTCCTAGTTATTGTGGTGAAATATCCTACTTGGGAAAATCCTCGTGGAACGCAGATTCTATTTTCCCTCGAGAAAAAACAAATTTTGGAACAAAGGTTCAACTTCTTGCGTGTCTGGCGGTCAATATTTGCATAAACTCAACAGTTGGAACCAAAAACCGTGGCTCGGAAGGAATAGAGCCGCGGTGCAAGCATCTGTCCAACCGTTTACGTGCACAGTGTTACCATTTCCAGTAATTTTCCTTTTTTCCGCGGTATCTTTTTGCCGACCTCATTTTTGGGCAACTCCATGACTAAGTTTCTGTTTGCTTCTTGACACCTCCCGCTCCGGCGCGGCAGCCGATTGGACGCGAAAATTGCCTCGCTCCACTTGGAATCGCCTTCTTTATCACCGATTTCATGCTCGATTTGGCAAACGTCCTGCTCTCCGGTCCGTGCCTGTCACCCGTTCTGCTTGGCTCGCTCCGGGCAACTGTTCGCTCATCGTCGCTCCCGTTGTTCCAGCGCGCTTTCCCGCAGCATTCAAACTTGGTAGTACCTAATAGAGCTCACTAGTAGAAAAAAAAAAAAATAAAAAAAAATAAAAATAAAAATAAATAAAAAAAAATAAATAAAAAAAAATAAATAAAACAAAAAAAATAAATAAAAAAAAATAAAACACTTTGGATCTAGAGTCCAGACTCTTAAAAACATCAACAAGAAAAAGTACTCTTGATTCAATCAGAATCTAGCTTAAATCAAGAACCAAGCCTCTTAATTTAAGCGAATTTCGTTTTGATTCAAGCAAAAATCCGATTGAACCAAGAGTATTTTTTTTTTTGTCAATGTTTTCAAGAGTCTGGACTCTAGATCCAATGTGTTTTTTTTTCCAGTGCTCCTCCCATTCTCCATGAGGGCTCCAGGACATGGAAAAGTGGAAAACAATCAGGGCATTGCAACTACAACATCAATAAAATAAAAGAAATATTTAAAAAAAATTATAATTATAACATGTAATTTTTTTTTTAAATAAATTGAGGAGCATCTGGACATTTTTTGAGTCTGGTTGTCGCAGCGGCAACTGCACAATGTTACCTGATTATATGTGTCGTAGATGCTTCCTTCTCTGAAATTTTTTAAATATCAGGAATTTTTTGCGTTCGTCGTCTCTTGTTACGGGAGAGGAAAGGCATGATGAATTCTAAGATTTTCATGGGAGAAGCCTAAGAAAAGGCAGGACATTTTAAATTTCCATTGAAACTTGTACCCTTGTGGGCTAAGCCATGTTTTTAGGTTCAAACCGGATCCAAAATTTTACCTTAATTTTATTACCTCCAAATACATCGCTCTAAATAGCCATAATCTAGCAGATTTTCCATACCGTCGCTTGATGTTCGAAAGCCATCGCCACTGTTTGTTCTGCCAGCAAGTAATTTCAATTTCAAATTCGGTAATCATCGGAATATCCAATCTGTGGAAAATCTAATTAGAGGTCCCTTCATCCTGTGATATTATTTGTTCGCTCCGATCACCGTTCATTAAAATTGTTCGACAGCCTTACTTTTTGGTTATGGTCCATCTAAGGAAGAGTGTTCATCGGCGCCAAAACTTTTCAAACTAACCCAAAAGTTTTGAAAGTTACGCAATCAAGAGCCAAACTGAACACCGAACACCTGCCTCCATCAACAAATTCTCTTCATCGGTTACAGCGTTTGCCGATGTACTGAGTATCCCCGGAATTTATTCGCAGAAATCAATGTCGCAGTCACACGGCTTTCCTTGCCAACAGGAGAAACTATTCCCGCGCGACAATGCTGCTGTGCTATGGAAAAACGCCCTATGAATCTTTAGGCGTTGCCAAATTTTCTTTGATAAAACACAAATTTCCTTGTAAACTTGCGAATATTTTTCTTCGATTTTTCCAGATAATTTTGTTCGCAATTTCACCCTAAGTTCCTGGAAATTTCAAGGAAAAATTTTCATAACTTATCTCACAAATTAACATTTTATGGAAGGGAATTTGGCAACTCTCGAATGTTCATACGGTGTACATCCTTAGGACGGGCGAATGGTCGTTTGCAACACTAGGTTAGCATATTATCGTGTAAAAATTGGTTCATTTTTGTGAGGATGTTTCTTGAGGAATGGCAGCCTTGTCACCTCTGCCAGGCTTGTGTACAATCCCTCGTACGTCTTTCCTCCTGTAACATTTAGGAGTCGAAGTGTAATGATGTGACAACGCTAAAGCCAGGTGTCCTCTCTCGAAGCTTAGTGCAGATTAATATTAACGTCAAGTTGAATTCGTGACTCCGTGTTCTCCGGCTTGATGAGAGGCGCAAAAAACGCGAAATCGCGCGCGAAACGCTCGCAACTTCACGATGAAATGATTTCAGAGACGATGCTCGTGTTGGGACTTTTCCAACAGTCCATGACGATTTTCCAAAATTCTAGGCCTCATCTCCGCGGTATCGATTCGCACAGTTGGTTGCAACTTTACGCAGAATCCTGAGGAATTCATCACCCAAGATGGCGGTTGTTGACATGGCTGGATGTTTTCGTGTTTTTGGCCTCGAGCCTTTCTCGTGGCGCTAAATTTTTCGAGCACATTTTTGGGTCGTAGGTTGTGAAAGTACAATATTCTTGTGTTTGTAGATTTTAAACCGAAAAGATTCGCCAGTTGGTTAATTTATTCCCCTCTCTTGTTATTTTGTCCCGTTTTTGTGACCCCCTCTTCGAAGGAATACCCATACCTGACATTCAAATCAGTGTAACCATTTTATTTAGCATAATGCGCCTCTTCTTTCGAGTTGGGTGTTACCACATTTTATTTGGTTCCCCACATTACTCATTACAGTGGGTCATCAAGTTGGGATAGTACACAAGATGTTGGCAGCTTCAATGTCTTCTTCGTTATAGCCTCATGGCAAGAGGTTAGACTTATACCTCGGCTCATCTGCTCCAAGTTGGCTCAGGGTTTTTCTCGCAGTGTAGAGCACTTAGAAGCTAGCATAGCATAGCATTCTTCATTAAACTCCGTCAGTGCGTCCGGTACTTTTTTCCACGTTCACATAGCATATTATCCTCTTACCATAATGTGCTCAGAGAAGGCTTAGGCGCTCTTTATCAAGGAAGGAAAGAAAGAAAGAAAGAAACGCTTCGTTTGGAAAAGATCATTACATTTTCAACTGTCGCCTTCAAACCAGTTGGTCCGCAAGGAACCAAATATTGAATATCGGCCCAGATTTTATTTTAAGGCGAAGCGCTTTCTGCGACTAGAATCGGAGGGATTCTCGAGGAATTTAATTTTAAATTTCGCGGGTCTGGAATCTCTCATAGTTGTGCCACTAAACGACGAATCCGAATCTGAATAGTTTTCGCTGAAGGGTGCGTTACATATTTTCTCCTATTCTCTCGTAGCTGTGCTCACCGGAGCTTTCATCACTAATCGCGCTAAATACGATCAAGTGAAAAATGTTCCCCAAGTGAAATTGATGGACACACCGTTAAGCCCATAACTCAAAGTGCGGTTGCGGGTTATTTTATTCTGGATTTGAACTTTGGGCCGAAGGAAAAGGGAAATCGAGGCGTGCGTCGTGGAAGACATGGTGAATCGGAATTGGAAGCGGTAGTGTCCGAGGGCTCGTTTTCACGAAAAGCCGGGCGTGGCTTTTCCGCGGTGGACGACCGGTGGCGGTTTTTCGCGGGTCGCGGGTGAAGCGGGCAGGCTCGAAAATGATGGGAACGGTGAGCTACGTGGTGTGGGCGGAGTCCTCGGCCCCCGCCTCCATGCCCTACCACCCGGTGACGGCCCCCGCCCCCCCGGTCCCCATGATGCCCCCTCCGAACCCCATCGGGCCCCTCTGGTTCCACTCGGTGAGTCCTCGCTCAGCATTAATAACCCACTTTCCATTCTCGTCTTATCATCTCCTTTCCACGCGGGAAAATTGGTGCAACAGAAAATCACAAGATCCATGTACCGAATGCCCTTACTCTCGTCCGCTTCAACCTACATGAATCTTCCTCTGGAAACTAAACTCGAAAAAATTCAGATCACCATTTAATGTAGATCATCCTTTTCAAGGTCATTCGCACCTTAAATATTTGAAAAGATGTGAATTCTTCTTCGTTTCGAATTGAGCCCAACCGTAAGGTGTTCAAAAACGTTCTTATTTTACAATTGCAGAGCCGTAAAGTTTCATATTTGTAGCTTTCAAGACTTAAGGAACTGAATAATATGCATTATAAAAGACAAAACCAAAACCCAGTCATCAAAAATTTTCGGCTGAATCCAATTTTTCCATTTTTTGGAATTTTCTTTCTGAATTGAGCACTTATTAGCGAGCTTTTGAACTTCAAGAGGGGGGGGGGGTATTTGAAGACGCTACCACTACTCACTTTTAGACGTATTTCTGTCAAAACGGAACTATGTGCATTAAGACATGATCCCTGAGACCTGTAATGATATATGCATAACAGGGCTCACGTCATAATGCACATAGTTTCGTTAGACAGAAATACGTCCACTTATACCGCCACTTGTACAGGGAGCCAAAAACTTATGTATCTTACTCCCTTGTTAAGCGCGACGACCCTCCCCTCTCCCACCCACACCTACGGAAGATAACGTGAATTGTAGGTACCTATGTCTGTTCTTCGAAAGCCTCCCTTTCTTTTCCTTTCCCTCAAGAACATACTCCTAAACTTAACTATCCGTGTTCTCTCAGGTTCCTGTTATTATTTTCATATTGCCTTCATCCATGATGACAAGTATGCAATAGTTCATTTCCTCACTCACTCTCATTTTTTAATAACTCGGGTTGAATCGTCCAATCAAATATTCACAAGGACATGGACCCATGAGAGAAGTGAACAGTGAAGACGTAATTGATGAAGGCAGGTCATTTGACTTTTTTTGGATCTTGGTGAGTTTCCTTCTAATTTGGTGGTCATTATTTGTGTGTTACAGGGTAGTAATGCGGTTCCAATTAACTCAGGAGGGCGATCGTTGATGAGGGATGGATTCCTTGGAGGGGATGAGTCCCCCACTCCATACCGCAGTACCACTAACAACCGAGCCCCTCACATCGGCAAGTACAAACTGCTCAAAACTATTGGCAAGGGTAACTTCGCAAAAGTCAAACTTGCAAAACACATACCCACTGGTAAAGAGGTAAGCTAGTCTCGTTTTCTTATTTCATCATTTTTAGGCATGCACAGTAACCTGTGTGAATCGAAGATTTTATTTGCCTGTCAATTATAATAATATAGCAGTATTTTTTTTTAAGAATCAGCCCGAAACTCTTTTCTAAAGAGTTTTTCGCTCGTATGGTCAGGGTGTCTACAAGTCCGGAATTTCCGGAAAGAACTGAAAAAGTACTGATTTTTTAAGGACGGTCTGGAAGTAATGAAAAAGTTCGGAAATTCCGCAAGAAGGTCCGGAATTTTTTCATTTTTTTGACATTTTTGTCGCAAGGTGAGCGAGAAATTCAAATTTTTGAAATTTTTCGAATTTCGTCAATTGAAGCTACTGAAAAAGTACTGAATATTTAATGTGAAGGAAGTACTGAATTTCTTGGGAACATACTGAAAAAGTAGTGTGAAAGTACTGATTGTTGGCCAGCCTATTTTAGTAAACACCCTGCCGGTAAAAAATTCATGCTGAAAAAACCACTACTGCAGATAATATGGACCGGCTATAAGAGAAACGCACCAAAAACGCGTTTTTGGAAAAAATAAGGCCAGAGTAGGTTTGAATTTACCTAGTCTTAAATTTTAATACAATGCTCATCAATTATCACTCGTAATTTAAATATCATTCGCATGTTTCACAGCTTCAGCTGTGTGAAATTTCAACTTTTTTTCAAAATAAAAAGTGGCAAACAAGGCACATCAAACATTTTCTCTTTCAATTGAAAGTTTACCCAGGTTACCTGTAGCTTCGAATTGAAGAAAAGTAATTTTACTAAAAAATGTTAAGGAATTGCTCAAGAATCGCTCGGTTTTTCTCTGTTCCATAAATTCCAATGACATTTTATTTCAGATAATCACTTCTCAGAAAAGGAAAAACTTTTAGATCCATTTTAAAATTAATTATGGAAATTACCTTTTTCTTTTAAAGTATGTCAAGAAATGGTCAATCAAAGAAGGAGAAGAACTCGCTTATCATTTTTAATGGCCTTGATCAGGGTAAAACTGGGAAAAAAACCAATGCATTTTTTTTGGAAGTCTATAGACGCTCGGCCTGTTACAGTCTTCAAAACTGTACAACGTTTTTATTTTATTTTTCCGGTACTTAATTACTTGATTTTTGATTACAGGTAGCAATCAAAATAATCGATAAAACGCAACTAAATCCAGGGAGTTTGCAAAAAGTGAGTACTCGGTTTTCTCAACTTTTTATGTGTTGTATGGTGGTATTTGTTAAGAAACTTTTGGCAACGATGGGCCTAATAGTTTTGGGTGCCATTCATGAGTTATGTAACGCTACTTACTTGTTGAACAGCCCCTTGAGAACCCATCCCATGCTAATGAAGCATCATTGATTAGACTTTATTCTCCTCTCAAAATCTGTCAAGCTGGGAGGATGCGTACTATGGTGTCCCCAGGAATTCTTGATGGCTCCCTCATAAGGCTGTCGGTATGAGTGAATTTCTTAAGACATAGTTCCAGGCATTTCCTTCAGAGTAACATGATAAAAACTTGTCTCTGTTAATCCAAAAGATTATTTTAAGAACCTTCAGGTTTCGTATGTTCAGAAGCTGCCAAAACTTAGAAGGTCGCAAACTTAAATTTCTATGGAAACTATTGAATTTGATTGGTTTGGCTCCTGAGCAGATCCTGTTTGTAAAGTTCAGCCTTAACATTGAACTTGAGAGAGTGAAATAGTCATCCTATACATTTCAAAGTTGCTTGAGGGAAAACCAAAATTTTGTTGAAATTAAATTGAGAAACCCATTGAATGTAAGTTTTACCTGTAGGCTCGATGTTGTTTATGCTGTGTTTTAAGTTTAAATTTCTAATGACCACTCTCTTTCTCTGTTGCAGTTATTTAGAGAAGTTAGAATAATGAAAATGTTAGATCATCCTAATATAGGTGAGTTTTAGTTTTAAGATTTTAAAATTTGTCACTAGTGAAATTGAACCTACTTGAAACCCGTAAGAGCAATCTCAATTTTTTCAGAGAATTATTAGTTCAATCAGCTAATCACAATATAATTGATTATTGACTGGTTACAATGAGACCTAAAGAAATTCTGTTGTGCAATGATTTGACAAGAAGCTATTTGGTCCAATGCGAAGCTTCTACGTTGTTAATTACACTGGTCTCCAAAAGTGTTTATTTTTTAAATGCTGAGGATCCAGTGGTTTATGACTCAGTAATTGTTAATTATGAGTCTGAAAATGGATCAACTTTTTTCTCCCCCACTAATTTTCCAGAAAATCAAGGTTTTCTTCAAGTGAAGGGCTTTTCCGAAAGAAATTCAATTTTCTAGAAAATTTGTGCATGTTAGAATAAAACAAGGTCATTTCCAGGTTTAAAAGCTGGAATAACACAGGTAAATATGCATAGCATGATTGAACTATATTTAATGGTGGCATAAGAAAATGTTGAGGAATCCTTGAATGATTATCCTTGTTAGATGTCTTTATGCAAAGGAAAAAGAAAACTGAAGCACAAGAGAGTTGACGGTATTTGGAGCAAGCTGTGCACATTACTCAACGCCTTTTCTTAAAATATTTTTACCCACGTTATATTTGGTTTAAAAGCAAGTTAATCTTTGCGCGTTTGATCTTGCCTTCGGCCTCATTTCTCATTTATAATTTTTTTCTTCCTCTTTCCTCTCCTTTTTTTTCCTGTGTGAAGGCGTAAAATGTGGAAAAAAGTGGCATCTCCATTGAGTCCGAATTGTGAGCTTTTCTAATCTATTCAGTTTCAATACTGATGATGATTTTTAAATTCTCTTGTCATTTAATCACTTTTAAAATGAATCTTACTCTTAATTTGTTCTATTTTATTTTCAGTAAAACTATTCCAAGTGATAGAAACGGAAAAAACACTATATTTAGTAATGGAATATGCTAGCGGTGGAGAAGTATTTGATTATTTAGTGCTACATGGGCGAATGAAAGAAAAAGAAGCTAGGGCAAAATTTCGGCAGGTGAGTATCACTAATTCTCATATATTAATTTAGCGCAAACCATTACATTTAATTCAGTGGCAGTAAAAAACCTCCTATAATCTTGCTACAATAAAAAAGAATGAAAACTTAGATGATTTCATTTTGAAGGCACCTAGACTTTTTTATTAACTTTTTTCATTTTTTTCTGCACTCAATACTCATTATTTGCCTTAAAATCGAATAAAATGCTAGTATATTTTTTGTCTTCGGACCTGCTTTTCAAATTCATTTTGTGTACATCATTCTTCACACAAAACTTCATAATATTATTAGAATAAGATATGCCTTTTATACATGGCAAAATTAACTGTTTTTCTCTGAGCTATCTCACTTTATACCTTTGAAAGCACAAGTAATATGGTCTTTGTTACAGATTGTTTCGGCTGTACAGTATTGTCATCAAAAGAAAATCATACATAGAGACCTGAAGGTAAAATTGTCTTATCCTACCTCATTTGTTTTTCTTTTTACTTAGATTTACTGTCAGTAAATCCTTGTTAATCAATGTTAGGATGATCCTTGAACTGTGCATTTATGTATATAAAGCAATAATTAGGCTCATTTGGACATGCTGTCACGTTTCTTTCATAGAATAACGTTAACCCATTCTGCAAGAGCAAGCTAACTTAACTGATCACGGTTGCATGACACCAGGACTCTAGTAGTGGCCTAAGACATGAGACCTAGCAATTGTTTGTGCTGTGATTGGGATCAAGCACCTGTAAACATGGTAGAAACGCCTCCCCCTCCTAAGGTCTGTCAGATTCAGGGCCTTTTATGTTCTTCATCTCATTCTAGACCATGTAGATTTCACTTTCCTTTAAACAAAAAACCAAATAGAAAAAGAAAAGTGGTACACCATGACTGAAAATATATTTTTAAATATTAGACCATGTCAACTTACAAGACTTTATAACCAATATTTTGATTAAATATCAGACTTTAGTTTTAGTTCGGTCAGTGAGGATTACATTATCACTCCCTACAAAACTTGCGACTGTAGCAGTTATGTCTCAACTTTTATTTTTTTCAAAAAAAAAAAAACAATAATATTTTTTTCATCTAATTTTAATCCCTGTTTTTCAGGCTGAAAACTTGCTGCTGGACAGTGAGATGAATATTAAAATAGCAGATTTTGGGTTTAGTAATGAATTTACGCCGGGTAATAAATTGGATACTTTTTGTGGTAGCCCACCTTATGCTGCACCGGAACTTTTTCAAGGTAAGTAGTTATTTTTCAGTTTTTTCGATGATGGATGTTCTTGAACATGGTTGTGAAAATAGCAATCCCGATTAATATTTTATTGAGATAGCACGGCCAAAGCATCGCAATAGTTAATGTTTTTTATTTAGTACTACACTCATTTCCCACCAAACTGTGCGCATGCAAGTATGCACGCACATTCCTGATTTATGATGTCTACTGGTCAACGATGTATGATCATCGGTGTTAATCGGAATCACTAATGCTGATTCACTTGTTTGTTGTCATCAATAATTTGTAACACTTGTATTTAATTTAAAGATTATTCTAAGAAGTGCAACTGTATCTGCTTGTATTTTTGCACGTGTTATTGATTTATCTAGTTAAAGTAATCCATATTTGTTAATAAGTGCTGAAGATGGGGCACGATGCCTCAAAAAGCTTCCATAAATTGTAAGTAATTAAATAAAAAGCACTCACTGTCGCAATGCTTCGGCTGTACTATCTCAATAAAATAAAAATCTCAATAAAAAGATGTGTGTTCTCCAGAAATCTCTCATTCTCATCTATCTTTTAGAACTTTCATCTTAGAATGTACTATTTCCATTATCATTGTTGATACTACAGCAGAAAAAATATAAAATGAGAAAAATTACATCATTGGCTGTTTTTAAAATTTATTTACAAGGTATCTCAATATAGAAAGTTTTTAGCCTTCTTATTTTTTTCTAATTGGCCACTCAATTTTTCCAAAGGCTTCCAAACAGGGAATTTCTCATCATCCTATAAAAATTTGCAACTTGACATTCATTGTGTAGTTTGTAACTTTTAACAGGTAGCTTTCCGATTGATTTAAACTGTCTCGCATAGAATTTTCACTTTTTTTGCCTGACCTATGAATCGTATGACCAAGAAGTCTCAGGACCTCTGGAAGAAATTATTGTAATGTGCAATTGGAAGGCTCATACAATGCGCCTAATAAAAATGTATTGACCTTGACTGTGTTCGAAAAATAGAGCATGTATCAAGTCATACTTGTATCCGTCTTAAAGTTATCATTTTTAATACATCTTTTATTTTCCAGGTAAAAAATATGATGGGCCAGAAGTAGATGTATGGTCATTAGGTGTGATACTTTACACGTTGGTCAGTGGTTCGTTGCCATTTGATGGCTCAACTTTACGAGAACTTAGAGAAAGAGTTCTTCGTGGAAAGTACCGAATCCCTTTTTATATGTCTACCGACTGTGAAAATCTTCTTAAGAAATTTCTTGTATTAAATCCTGTCAAAAGAGCATCTTTAGAAGTAAGTATCGTTTTTGCTGATCATTTTCTTTCACTAAAACTTCATTAAAAAATTGGTATTTTTTATAATTTCTTTGAGAGTTGTCTAAGTGCTCAAAATTTCCACTTGATCGGAGCAGTTTTCATCAACTTGGTTTTTTAAGCTTGAAATGTCTTTAGAACGTTTTATTTCTTATCATGCCAATATAATTGATGAGTGTTGAGTGATGATTTAGATAATGAGGATCTGTCTTCACTACAGAGATTGTCATAAATACATACTTAATTTGTTGTTCTGTTTTTTTTTTTTTGCACCTTAAGCCTTCCACGTTTTGAAAAATTGATCTCGCCAGAAGAAACATCTGATCAAAGTCTCTAAAGGACATTATTTAAATATATTGCTTATTGTCTATAAAGTAGCCAAGAATAGGTAGAGTAGCACTATTGGATGTTTCGTCATGTATGTTGTCTTCAATCTTGTGATAATTATGTGCAGACAGAAGAAGTATAAATTTTTTTCAGCCATGACTGGAGGTCTGAACTGAACTTAAATGCTCTGAAATATTCTATTTTTTCTTTTGAATGAAAAATATTTAAATTAACAGCGTGGCTTCTGTTATTTTTCTTTTAAATAGAAAATATTAGAGTGACTGATTTTTTTTATTATATTAAAATAGTCTCTTACTGGTTTACCCGGACAGAATATAATGAAAGACAAATGGATGAATATGGGCTATGAAGAGGACGAACTAAAACCCTATCAAGAGCCTGAACCAGATTACAAAGACCTGAAACGAATAGAAGCTCTAGTCGGCATGGGTTACAGTAGATGTGAAATAGAAGACAGTTTAGCTCAAGCAAAGTACGATGATGCATTTGCAACTTATCTACTACTTGGAAGGAAGTCAACAGATGTAAGTTATTTTAATTACGTTTACCTCTTAAGTCTTTTTTATTAGTTTCATTTTACATCAGTTGTGTTATGTATGAGGCTGATTTTTCTGTATTTATAAGTCACTGAATTGGTCGTTTCCCCAAGCTTCTGTATAAATCTCCATGAACATGGAGAACCTCTATTTTACCGAGGAGACATTACTTAAGAGAAACAGTACACCTGAATGCCATACTTCAAAAATTTCACATGAAGTATGATTCTGACAATTTCATAATTAGAGGCAAAAGAATTAATTCCATACTTAATTTGGCACAGTAATTTATCAAGTCCTCCTCTCTCATTATAGCAGGCTTTTAAAAATTGTAAGTTAAAAAAATTCATTTCGTCAAATTTCTTATTTCAATTTTTATTTTCATGCACCAATGCAGCCGGAAAGTGATGGTTCAAGATCAGGTAGTTCATTATCATTACGAGATATCCAACCAGGTGGAACGGGAAGCGGAGGCGGAGTCACCGCAACGACAAACAATGCTCAGTCTCCTCCACATAGAGGTGTGCACCGATCTATTTCAGCGACAAATTCCAAGCCAAGTCGGCGGGCATCCTCGGGTGGAGAAACTAATGGTGGTGAGACAAATAACTCTTGCTTAGCGCTCTATTCTGTTGCACGCACAGCTATTTTCTCCATTAACAACACTCACACTTCCTTTTGGGTTTGCTCGCTTGCATTTTAAAGTTATGGAAAGCAATTGGATCAAAATTGTGAGATAAATGATCTTGCGTCTGAACTTTTTCTCATTTGACTGTCAGTTGAACCAAGTCTGAAGTTCTGACCTGCATTCATTGTGTATATGTGTTTTTTTTTTTAACTGAGAAGTTGACAAAAACTTTTCAAGATGAAGTTTTCTCATGAAAAATATTGGAGGCCAATTTAAAGCAGAAAATTGGCAAATACGCAAGCCCTCTTAATTTTAGTCACGCCAAGTGGCTTATGAATTAGTCATGAGTGTTCATCCTCAAAATTTGTTTTCAGACTTGCATCTAACAGAAACTTAGTCGATCTTCAAACTTTCTCTCAATCTTTGTATCTATTCACATCTATTGAACAAAGAATATAAATACACCAGATAAATTAAAATTTTCCATAATCCTTGAAAAATTGGGTTCAAGTTAATAGTTTCAGAAAATTGTCACTAATCATCCATCATGGCAGAGATTTCCGTGCAATTCACAAGAATTATTTTTCTTGGTTTTTCCTTTGATGATTCATGTGAAGGTCACTATTGGAAAAGCCATCCTTTTTAGTTCTTGTCAAAGAATTTGATCGATTCCCCCCTTTCTTCAAAGAAACGTTGATTCACTTGCTTTGCATCTCTTCATTTTTAGCGGTGATTGTACATGTTCTCTTGAAGTTTAATGCTTTAAGAAAAAGCTTTTTTTCCCTGAAGTAGCTTTGCTTTGAATCAGTTCTCCAGGTAGCAGATCTCCCAAGATCCCTATTATCAATAAGTCCCTATTTCCTCACTTGGTGCCGGTTCTATGCAGGAGGTCTAAAATGCTCCGTCAGTATTAACTGATTGAGAGGTCTAAAATACTCCGTCAGTATTAACTGATTGTTCTCTAAAATTTGTTTTCGACATCCGTCTAAGTTTATAAATATTTTCTCTTGATTTAGTGTGGTGGATCAAATACATTAATAATTCATTAATAACTGACCGGTAAAGCAAACAAATTTTGATCTCATGCTGATTTTTCTTCTCTTTTTGGGGGGGGGGGGGGGGTGGCGTTTATTATTGTAATAACTCTTTTTTTCAATTCTCCTTTAGGTCAATTCAATCCTTTTTAATACAGTAATAAATCATGGGTCACTAATGATGTTGATCAAAACATTTAGACTTACTTTATTTGGGGGTTTACTTTTGAGCATTTTGGCTTTTACTGTAGTAAATACTTACAGTAATGGTTGGACATGGCATATTTAGTGCTAGGAGTATGAAAGTATTCAAAGAGAGAAGAAAAATTTACCAGATACTTAGAGACCTGCTACAGATATCGGTGTGGAGTTTGGACCAGAGGACTCTACTCATAAAACAATAGAGTGAGAGAACTGAGATTAAAATAGTAGAAAGACCTTTAGATATCAGCCGTTATTGATCCCTGAGCGCAACCATAAAATTTTAAAGTTAGCCATCACTGATTCCCAAGTGCAACCACAAAATTTTGAAGTACAAGTTGTTTTTAGACACATCTCAGTAAAGCTTGTATTCTATTCCTTTAAATTTGATAAGTCGGATAATTTAGTTTTCAACTCTGCCTCTCTTTTACCTACTTGCCTTTTTTCGTTTTTCCTCTTTTGTTATGCAGTAAACTCATCAATAGTGGTAAACTGATTCTCGGTTGGAATTTTTTTGATTATTGTTCATTTTGAATTCGCTCTCTTGAGATTTAGTGTTTGCTCTCGAGATATAGTGTTTGCATAACATTTTTAATCTGTGCCATTTTCAAAACAGTAACTAAGAATTTCAGTAAAATCTGGCGGTGTTCTGCGCTGGAAAGATTCTCTCTCAAATCTTAAAATGCTTTTGAGTTAAAATATAATAAGCGTTTTTCCAAGTAAATCAAGACTGTGAGATTTTTAAAGTGTTGTTAGCCAGTCAATTATTATCTTATCGTTCTTTCCAATTTTAATTTTAAATTATTTTGTGTGGAATCCCTTTTAATTCTGAAGTAGTTCATTTTCAACCAAATCTTCCTCCAGAAATGCATAATTTTACTTGTGATCAATTTTCATAATGTAAACTTTAAAAAATGTATTAGCAGTAGTTACTTGAGGGCAATGTTAGCTGTCTATAGTTCTACAATTCTATTACCCAAATAAAAAAATTCAGAGAAGATAACTTGGCTGATTTTGACTCACATGGTGACCAGTTTTTGTTGGCTAGTTTTAAAGCAACAAGAGAGGCCATGAAAATTTTAGAATCAAATCCAGTCTAACAGCCAAAATTCTGACAGAAAACCCCTTAAGACTTCTCTAATTTTTTAAACTTAATTTTACAAATCACCTAATGGAGCTTGTTGGTTTTTGTTAATGGTTGAAATAAGTAAAAAGAGAAGATCATCAATTCTTTTTTGCATGATTTTGTTGATGCTTTGATGTACACTAGTTTGCAAGAATGAAAACCTTTCTTGGTGTGAAAGGTGAGCTCTCCTTTTTGAATGCATAATTTATTCCTGTTTTGGGCCCCCATAGAACTTCCTTTATCTCTTTCTCTTTATTTTTATTTTTATTTTCATTTTTTTATTAATCATCTCACAAGTCTATGACACATTTATTTTCACTGTTCTTGTATTTTTTTGAATTGATTTAATGAGAAATTTGAGGGAACTATCCAAACTTTTAGTTTTGGAGTCTAAAGCATTCTTTTAATATTTTGAGGTACGATTATCATGATCAAAGTCAAGTGACTCAGCAAAAGAAAATATTCTGACAGTTAAGTTAATTTATTTGTCATTTAAGCCTTGTTTTGAACGTATTAATTGTTCGCTCTGTCATTTTCATTCAGAAAAATATGAATAAGTGAAGTTTCATTCTTTCTTCCTTTTTCATAACTACATAATAATAAGGTCAAAATTTTAACCAGTCAAGCAGACTCATTTACAGTATAATCAATGAAATGATTTTCCTCTTTATCAATTTTTGTTTATTGATTTTTTCCCACTTTCTTTTTTACACTCATCATTTTAATTTTTCTGTTTTTTTTTTGTAGGCAACATCCATTTTGCCACTTTGAACAGCTATTGTAGAATTTAAACCTATATACTTTTTTTTTCCTATTCATTTTTCATGGTGTAGTTTCATTTCTTTTAAAATAACCTGTTTCATGTATGGCATCAGAGTTTTTAATTTCAACCAAACATCAGTTAAATTAAGTGATCAGCTCAGAATTTCAAGACTTTTGACAATCCATAACCTAAAGTAATCCTCAGTCCACCTTACTTTCTTCAGCCCCTGTAAAATCTAACCAATATTATTTTCAACATCTCATTCAACCATTGTTTTAAAAAGACAAAAACATTCAGTCTATCGCATTGTTCTCATATCCTCCTATCCATTACTTTCTCGATAATCCATATGAAACCTCTTTCTTCTTTATTTCAACCATCGATTTTGTTACACCCAGAAACTGAAGGTTGAAAATTCTCCCAGCACTAGCCACCCTCACATTCATCATCAGCACTTATTAAATTCTTTAACTGCATCAGAAAGTTATTAGTGTCGCTAGTTATTATTTTTAATTCTCTTACTGCATAAAATTACCTCTCGTCTTTTTAAATTGTGTTCTTATTTTATTCTAGTCTGCACACCTTTAATATGCGCACTTGGTGTCACAGTCGTCTGTACATAGCTTTTGCTGTTTAGCCAATTATGTTATTTGTTAGTATTGTCAAGTTACGTATTTACTACGTAGGTTTTTTTTTTTTTTTTTTTTTTTTTTTTTTTTTTTTTTTATTCATTTATCAATCTATATTTTCTAATTTTGGTTAAAATTAACAATCTCAAAAATTGATTAATGGAATCACTATAAATTAATGATGTGAGGTTCTTTATAAACTCACTTATACAACTTGAAGTCTATCAAGGGCAGTTAAACAACTTTACCCTTTGGGATCCTCATATACAAATACGGAACTCTCAGCTCTACCGTCTACAATTTGAGACTCTCTATTGGAGAATCTACAATTGTACCAAGGAATCAGATTAAAATAAATAGTATATTTTAGTTAGCTTAGCTTTAGCAACGATTCTGTCTTGTCAGGCTGACTACGAGGCTGGAAAATGAAAATTTCCAAAAAAGAGGGCAGAAATTTAATGTAGGGTAGAAAATACCAAACATTTACAACACATCTACTAATGGTCCAAGATTTTTCATGTTTCAAAGTATGAACATTTTGTTTGAAGGGGTTATTTGTAGAACTATGCAACAAACCTGTATGAACATTAAGAAAATGCAAAAGGAATGTCCATCAGGTCAGCAATTATGCGAGTGTTATGTTGCCCAGTTTAAATCAAACAAATTCCTTTCAAAATACTTAATTTTCGCAGACGATTCAGAGCAATTTTTAAAAGGTTCTTACAATTTTATGGAAGGCTTTAATAGACAGCCTATTTTATTGCTCAATCAAGTTTTAGTGTTCACACAACTCATGCTTATGTTTGGACCAGAATTCTCTGGAACAAAATAGTAAGGAAGGACACAAGGTTATATCTGAATTATTATACTGTCCTGTAGATAGGCCCAGTCTATTCGTCTTTGTTCTTGGTGGCTGTATTTTGCTTAAGGTTTTGGCGACTGATCCATAACTGTTCTCTCATTTTTATGCAAATGCTATTTGAACAGGTGGTTTTAGGTGGTTCTTATTTGTATCGAATAAAGATCATTGGTCTCAGGAGTAGGTTTGTCTGGACAGTTATTGGAAGGCATTTGTACTGAATCTACAAATTTTCAAAATGGACAGGAGAAATGACGATTTTTTGACGACAAGTTCCGTTGACATCTTACACCTCTGTGGATGTCTTGTGCAAAATTTTTTTTTGCTCTGGAGAACTATGAGCTTGATTCACTCTTAGAATTTATCACCATTTTGTGCCTTAAGATCATTCACTCTCTTTGGTTGCTGCACTCGCTAGATATGAAGCACAGGAGCAGCTTAACTTTTTATTCGGGTGTTGGTTCACTTGCTGCTTAGTTTAACCTCTGATAAAAGTTTCTTTGGGTTTGATTTGTAACATGAATCTTGTTAGTTTATGAAGTAATGTAGGCAGAGGTAAAGTCAAAAAATGATGTTGTCCTAAGATAAGCCAAGCCTGAATTTATTATATTTACAAATCATTGAAACTAGAAGTTCGTTGTATGTTTGTGTGAAGACTAATTGTAAGACAAATGAAAGAAGTAATATTTAATTTTGCAAGCAATTTAAATATTTTAAAAAACTCTAAAAAGTGTTTGTTAGTGCTAGGTTTTGCTATTACATTTTAAATATTGTTAGTAACTTTAACGAAAGGCACAGATTATGAAGGAATGAGAAGAAGAAAAAAATTCCAAAAGCACAATATTTTTCAGGCTTCCAAAAATTTCAAAAACTTATCACTGCAGTGGTTTCATGCCTTTCCCCCATGCATCCAGCACATTTACATTGATGCCCCAAATTATGTTCTTAGCTACTTAAAAATTCTCTCATCCTGAATCCTACTTCTTGTAATTATACTTCTTGCCACAACCTTCACCTTGTCTGCTATATATATGGGAGAACAACCTCTATCCCCTTGTCATGTAAGATACTTACCTATAAATTCTGATGCTCAAACTGATATCACCGACCAAATGAACTCCAAACCAAAAAAAATTCTTTCTACAGTAGCTTTTTCAAAGTTCAGCCATTATCACACCATCTCTAGAACTGAATACAGTTTTAAGCTGAGGCAAGTTTTTCACCTATCAATCAAAAGTAAAATTTTCAGATAATTTGTTTACTCGAATTGAAGTGCGGAGGAAAATCTTGCACAGTTCTGATAGTGAAAGAGTTAGCTTGAGCTTGATTCAGTGGAATTAGAGATGTTTTGATGCTAGGGCAATCTGGGATGCTGCCTACATATGACCAATGGTCAGCTTAGTTGACAATGACAACTTGGCATTGTGTTGGTTGTGTTCTGATTCCCGTGTAGGTAGAGGAGGTGTTCAACTGAGCTTGATCCCAAATGCACTCATGATTTACAGTAGATCTCTTCTTCCAGGAGGAGTACCCATCAACACAACTAATCATAATCACAACCACAATAGCACTACTACCGGCAGCAACTTCAAACGACAGAATACAGTCGATGCAGCAACTATTAAACAACAATACAATGCACGACCCAATAATATCAAAGCAAATCAAATTTCAAGGTCTATTAAAAATACTGCCAACGCACGAACTAATGATACGGACACAACGCGTAAGTACTCTTTTTCTAGTAATTTTCCAGTCTCAAGCTAGCTGAGGGTATCCTTGATAACATCAGCTATTTTTTTAACAATTCTGTTCATGTTTCATCTCAGCTAACAATAATATCTTTTCCAGAGCAGACTAGATAATTGTAATGCCACATCACTAGAAAAGCTTCTCAACTCAAAATGCATGGTTCACAAAATGTTAAGGAACCAAGAATCATATTCTCATTTTTTTAATGCATTAAGAAATTAAAAATTTCAAAAATTGAGAAAAATTTTTTGATCAGGGCAATTTTTATCTTTAGGTCAACTGTCAGGAAACAAATGCTCTGATCATCAACGAATTAACTAATCCAAAAATTTATACTATTCAATAATTTAGCTACTGACCCAAAAAATATTCTAGTCATGGAGAAAAGAGGGAAAACAAATGCTAGAAGTGTCCTCTCAAATATTTTCAAAGCAATTACTTCCCGTTTGTAATTTAAGTCCATCATCAAAGACATTATTATTACTTGGCCAAACTTTACATATGACCTTACTCGTAATAAATCAAAATGCTGCATTCTTTTTCAGGAGAATGGAGTCCTGGTAAACCAAGAGGGGTTAGCAAATCTAATACAATGACTGGCAATAAACCTCTAACTGTAGGTGGCTCAGTTGGGAGAAGGAGTTGGATATCATTTGAAGAAAAAGCATCTTCCAATGAAAAAACAAACACTGCTGGTGATAGCGCTGGGTATGTATTCATAGTATGGTGAAAATTCCATCAGTTTCTCTTTAGATCTTCGGTGAAATCTGAACAATGCCTTTTCTATTCTGATCTATGTTCATTCACAAGGTTGATTCTTGTCACTCTTTTCTCTTTCTAACTTTATAACCTTTCCTCTCACACAACTTTGCTTTTGTCGAAGTCATTGACTGGGGCTCATTTCTCAGGTCCTTCCCTCGAATAGACGAATCCCTTTCAAGACATCTCCTATATTCCAGATTTTTTACCTATCGATGTTAGCTGGTTCAAAAGAAATAACAAAAACAGGAATTTAAAATTTTAAGGTTTTTTTCTTCTTTTTTGGTTCTGAGATCTTTCTCTACACTTAATTAAGCCGAGAACTGACCTGTTGCTTATGAATTTTGCATTGAATTTCTCAAGGAAAAAGTACTATTCAAATCTTACAAGTTTGAACACATTTCTCATGCAAATAAATGCATTCCTTGTGAAAGATCTGTCGTCCTCTTAGTCAAGCCAATGCAATTTTTCTCCATGAAAAATGGAAGTGGCGGGCAGGTAAGGATTCCTTAAAATAGCAAAAATTTTAAGGGTAGTCCATTGGGACTCTAAAGTTGGGGAACTGTCTGCGGAGCATCACTTTTTATACATGAAGGTTCTGCGAACAGCTCCCCTCTATTTAAGCTCAGGATTTTGCAAACAATAACTTCCAGATTGGTAGTATTACTGTCCAAAAGACCCAATTTACTGACAGCCTGACGTCCAGCTCAATGTCTCAATTAATGCTGCTGCTATATTACTCTTCTTTAAAGAAGTCGTTCAAAATGGCTATTAGGAGTGCACCTGCAACTAAATCTGCAATTTAGCTCATGATTTAAAGGAAGCTTTATTGTAATGCTTTTCTCTTCAGGAGCTAAATTGAAAGAAATCTAAGTTTAAGTCTAAATATCCATTTTGAATGATGCTCTCTTTTATTTGGAATGAATGCATTGCTCTTGTACGCTCCCAACAGTTTTCAGCAAATTTACTTTTCTTGTATCTTTCTTTCCATCTAAACCTTCCTTTTTAAACTCATTATCTTCTAATCTCTAGCATTAATAACTTTTGGTATTATATAGTGTGGGTGGTGCTGGTGACTCTCTGCGCGTATCTAAAGGCCACATCAAGTCAGCATCAATTTCATCTGCAGACCCCTCTAATGACCCTCTACATCAAGCAAGGTAGCTTTTCACCTGATACCCCTGTAGTTCCTCCTTTGGTTTTTAATCAATTCCCATGTGTGAGGGCCTCAATTTTCTGTGTGTAACTTGATTCCGTAGTTGGAGCTATTCTTTAGTCGTGGAAAGTTATAAACTTCACAAGTTTCTGTAGCAAAGTATTGTAAAGGGTTAATCATTAGACAGTGAAGATGAAGTATCACAGGGAATCATCAGAAAGTAAGTCAAAATTTTGTCAGAAGAAATCTGCAACAAGGTGTTAGTCATTTGGGTCTTACACTAAAAACTACACACGACACTATGCTTCACATTTTTGTTTCTCCGAGTTGTTAATATATTCCATTCACCATGATTCTCCTTAGAATATTATTTTTCTTTGCTTTCTGTTTTTGCTGAGGCAACCTACGATTAAAGTAGGTAGGCCTTGGTGTAGCTGAAAATATAGTACATACTGCTCGTCCTTGATTATTTTTAATCACATATATGCCAATTTAATCAGGAACATTAAGTAAATGTGAGGAAGTTAAATTTACTCAATTCTGTGGAATCATTGCTGAATGTCATAATGTGTTCATTTGCCCCAGAATGCCCATGATGTTTTTTCGTCTAATTTCAGGCGATGGGTTGAGAAAACATTTATTGATTTTTTAGCAGATAGATGCTCCAAATTTTAGCTCGGGAAGTCCCCAAAGGTTTATTTTTAGAAACTTGCAGTGTAAAATTCTTCAGTGTTTTTCTGACAAACATATGTTTGGACTCTAAAATGGGTCATTTGGTCATTACTGGGTCATTACTTACCGCCTTAGTTCTTTTCACAAAGAGAGACATGTGAGGACTGGCTATTCCCAGTTGCCTTAAGCTATGCTGCTTCAAGCTTTCACCGTATGGAAGTCATTTGTTGGATGAATTGGCGGAAGTGGAAACTGCCAAAAACTGAATAACCCTTTTAATCACTAAATAAAATAGTGCTCATTAGCTAACTTCTAAAACTCCAAACCTCCAGGAGTCTTAAAAACCAAAATTTTCATATGATGTAAAAGTGGACATTAAATTCAGTTTTTGCATGAGCCAATTCAATTAATCAATTGAATTTCTCTTTTCCTCTTTACTATATGAATGTGACTATGACTGTTCTTGAATTTTAAACAATTTTCCTAAAAAAATTACATCTTTTTCTATTTAGTTGCATGATTTTGACTCTTATTTATAAATTAAAACTTGTGTCTTTCTTGTATTCATAATTTTGTCTGGTGCTTAATTTTTCTCAAAGTGGGGCTTTTGTAAATTCTGTTTCAATTCATTTTTAAAAAGCACTTCTAACAGAAGGAGTCTTTGGTTTTTCCCCCCTTTTTTTTCTCCATTTAATTAAATTAAGCTGATGAAAATTTTAAAATTGCCCAAAAATATCATTGTATTTAAATATCAAACTCTTATTCAAATGGAAAAATATTACACCAGCAGATCTTGCAATTTCACCTGCAGATTTGACTGTTCTGTATGTTTCCATCATCATTGGCAATGTTCTGTAATGTACAACCGATGAACTCACGGTAAAAATTATGGAATTGAGAAACTTGTTGAAATATTATGTGTATTTCTAAAGCTTTAGCCATCTTAATAGTCTTTTTGCATCATTGCTCAAAACCTAGAAAATACAGGACATCAGCTCTCCTCTCTTGTCTGGGTTGGTCCTGTTTTTAACAATTACTTTTCTCCGCTTTTGTGAGTTTGTTGAATTGTAGTTCAAAAGCAGCTCTTTACTTTTAACTTGAAGAGAAGTGAGCGTACCTCAAATAGATCCTAGGTTGTCTGCTAAAATTTGTCCTTGCATTTTATGAGGGGAAAAAAGGAAAGAATGAAAAGCAAGTGAAATAGGGGAAGGTGGAAATTTTGTGTCCTCAAGATGTTTTTGTTTCAGTGAAGAGATAAAACTGCCCTTTTCAAGAGGTTATCTTATGAATAATGATCAATTGGAAATAATTTTGAACTTTTTTCCTTTTATATTACAGTACAAATACGGGTAGAGGTCCACCAGTTTCTCCCGCAGCCACAAGTAGGCAACCTTTTCCCCGCAACATACCATCACGTAGCACATTTCATAGCGGTCAAAATAGACAACGAGGCGGTTATGGTGGAGCTTCTCCTACTTCTGCCCCTCATGACGCATCTGCTCGTCCATCTATCTTTGCCAAGATATCCTCAAAATTTTCTAAACGGTGAGTTCACAATTTAATTTTTCACATTGTTGATTCGTAGTAAGTTGCTTTTTTATTAGTTTTGTTGAATATTATTGACTGGTCACCAGTTTTCCACCTAATCCTGTAAACATTTTTAATTCTTTATCTTCCTTTGAATTGAAACCACTAAGGGTCTAATGAAATAGGGCCATAGGAAAGTTTAATGAAATAGTGCCGAAGCAAAGTCTAATGAAATAACACCAAAGCAAAGTTTTAAAAAATATTTGATTATGATTGCCCATAATCATCAAACATTGGAGCTGAAAAAGGATTGAACTTTCATGGAGGAAAGGGTATCAGTAGAGCAATTTATTTCCTTTAAAGTGAATTTAATTTCTTTGGCCTTGCAAATTTCAAGAAACTAATGAATTAAATTCAGTACAGATGAAACACAGCTTAAAATATGGAGATGGGATAATTTTGTTCTGAATGTGCGTAAGCCCAATTGCCGCGTAATTCTCAAAGGGAATCAATACTGCGTTATAACTCCGCATGTAATAAATCACCCAAAGTCCCCACACTAAGCTTCAAAGCAGTTCTTTTTCATTTTATTTTCTCTGTCTGTCAGTCGATTTAAATTGATATAAATTGTAGAAGTAGCAGCTCAGATTCTCACTGTAGTTTTTTATTTGAAGCATGCACCTTGCACCCGTGTGTAAACTGCTCGTGATTAATCTTATCAATAGTGCCCCTGTTTTTTTAATGTTTGATCGTTTTTGATTTTTGAAAAATTGCTCAAAAAATGAAAGGGAAGAAATACTGTATTTTAGTAGTGGTACCAGAAACAACTTGAGGCACCATGCAAAACGAATTCAGAATACTGGATGTTTTGGTTGGAATAAAGGGAAAAGTAGGAAAAATAATCATATAGTCAGCATATACAAACTTCCGATAAAGCATCTGTAAATTCTTGCTTTAGTGCCCCAAAATAGAAGAAAATCCAATTAATGGTTCAGCTCAATTTGATGAATAAAATATTCATCATCAATCCTCTAATTGGAAAGGAGGTATGCACTTAGTAATTTTATCCATGGAATAGAATTACATTCCTAGGGAATTGCTCATAGAATGTTCAGCAATGCACTCACTCTCAGTATCTTCCCAATAGTTTTATACTCCCTCCTCCCCTCTGTTTTCTTCTTCTTCTAATCTCTGTCTTCAACGGCCCTAAGTTCATTGCAATTATTTTACTGGACAATTGAACTGAGTTAAGGAGCCAAAATCTAATTAAGAAGTACCATCCTGACTTTTAAAATTTTCAATTATAGTAGTCACAACTTACAACAAGGAAGGAGAAGAGGAATTTGTCTCTTATTTTGAAAAAAAATTGCGAAATGCATACATATTTTAGAGCTCTGTATATTTTCTTTCCTCAATAATAAATTTAAAAACAAATATTCAAAAATAGGAGTTGAAATGTACCGATGGCATAAGTGCAAAACAACATATGTCAGTTTGCCAAATTGCAGACTTCCTGTCATACTTAATTTTTTCTGTGGAAAACTAGTCAATGTAATTTTTTCAAAACCTCTTGATTTTTCTTCTCTAGTGGCAGAATATTTTATATAAATTCATAGCTTTAATTTTGACTCATTTCTCTTTGAAAAAATAAAATAGGAACTTTCTAAACCGTAATGGCAATACGCTGTTTCACTTTGTTTATCGGTATGTACTATATCAGGTTATAGATAGAAAGGAGCCTCTAAACCTTTTTCTATCATTTCAAGCTTGATGAGAGTGGTTCTGCTGCAATTAATCTATTTGTGCATCACAAAAGCAAGGAACTTCGTCTTAGTTGACTCATTATTATTATGTCTAGTGGTCAATCTTGAATTGGAATTATTAGATCATCATCATATTACAAGACCAGCATCCAAAATTTATTTCTCTGCTCACAGCGGTATAATTTTTTTTAAGAATCATCTGCGATATTTTCCTTATCTGACACCAAAAATCTTCATTTTGTATCCCCTTGTCTCTCAAACCCTTCTATCCTTTCAATTGTAAGCCACATTCAACCGCCCCCTCATTTAATTTTATACCGGTTGTTCTCACTAAGAGCCTTTGACTTGAGAATTCAAGATGACGATGACTTGTCAAGGTGCCTTTAAATTCATAACTCCCCAATATTTTATACCAACCTGCTTCCATATGTAGACTCATCTCTTCAAATGCAGTTACCATCACTTTTGAAGGGTCCCTAAGCATAAGACACAAAAATTAAAAGATCAAATTTAATATAAAAAATCAATCAACTTCTCCCCATTAAATTAACGTAACGTTATTTTTTCGAAGGGACCATTTTTCATTTTTCTCAATGTATGACTACTCCACTGAGTCTTTTATTTTTTATTCCTCATCGACTTCTGCATACTTAAACCAGTGGCGTGGTGTGCTTTGCGATATATCGATTGTTATGCCATTTAAACCTATGGAAAAGGATCGATAAACAGGGTGTTCGCAGCGAACACCTTAATAATCGATTCTTTTCCATAGGTTTAAATGGCATAACAATCGATATATCGCAAAGCCACTGACTTAAACATAGGATTCTTCAAATATTTTCTTGACTTCTATATCAGAATTCGTAGACATTTTTTACAATTTCTTTTTAAAAAGCCAAAAAAACAAACATTTTCTAAATATTGACAAAATGCTGTGTTAAGTATGCATGAGCCTTTAAGGCGTTGAACCAAAAAAAAGTTTTTGAAAGCAACAAAGACCTGAGAAAAGGAAAGTTGAAGTTGGCTCAATTTACGTAAGCTTCTAAAGGACTTCCCTTATTCCTAAATAATACCACATGCCCATGTCGAGACCAGCAGCCAACATATCTTGAAGTTTGTCCCTTCACTAATAGTAAGCTATTTGTTGGCTTCTCTTAAGCCAATTTTATTTTGCCTATGGCAAACCCTCTTTGAGGGCCTCATTTTGATTGCTAAAAGGCCCCTCTAAAATTTCGTTTCAAATTGTGTAACATAGCTTTTCAAAAACTGCACTTTGCTTCTCGAGTACCAAGTTGGAAACAGTCATCAATTTTAGCCTTATTTCTAAGGTCTGTTGTGCCCCGGCCTTTCTAGATTTTATCCCTGCACTCCTCTCAAGTACCTAACTCTTCATTAATAGTCTCAGCCAAATTTGTATCAATTAGCTATAGCCAAAATATAGTTTTTTTACTTTGTCTGGAATGACATGAAAAGGCGATCAGGCTTTCTGCAGAAACTCAAGGAAGAAAAAAAAAACATTTTTTCATTAGAGTTTCATTTTGCACTTCTGGAGAATGATTTTTTCCATGAAATTCCAGGAATAGTATTCAGATTGAATAAGTGCAAAAGTTGGTGCTAATTTTTTTATTTTTCTTCGGTGTTGTGAATTGTGAAATCCAGAATCCCAGTATGCTACTCTGGTCAGTATGATTATTGCTGTTTTAAAATACATTTTTCCCGAAAGGACGAAGTGGATATCCCGTCTTTCAGAAGACTTTTTCCTCAACATTTACTAACACAGTGGATCTTGATCCAAAGAAGTTTAATTTTGAAGTATGTTTCTCAATCCAACATAATTTGACCAAAACTTCATTTTGAAACTGTACAGTAAAGATTCAAACAACATGAAGCAGTAACCAACCATTTTGAGGATTGAAATTATGGCACAAAAAGAGGTTCAACAAGAGAGTAATTTGAAAGAAGAAAAGTCGTTAGGACTTGTTTTTAATAACCATTGAAAATCATAGAAGTTCCTCTCTCCAAAACTTCATGCAATCCAATATCAACAGTTCATGAGGTCGGCACTCTATTGTTGAAGGCTCTTTTGAAAACTTGGTCTTGTCGTGTTTCTCACAATGAGGCTCCTTTAACATTAAGTTTTTCAGAGCACCTCATCAGAAATTTAGAAAGTCCTCAGTATTTTATCCTCGTAATTAGATGTTTCCCTCTCCTCTTCAACTATAAATCTTCAGCAGCTCACCAAACTACTTAGCAGTGTTCTGTCTTCCTGTCAAAATTTTAGGAGCCAACTTAGCCGCAAAACCCAATTTTTAGAAAGCCAAATTAACTTTTTGTATGCGCCTTTGTGTCTCTGTCCTTTTCTTGGGCTGCACTGCCGCCCTGCTGTTAAGAATGCAGCTGCTGTCATTTTATTGCAAGTTTGAAAAAATCGGCAGAGTTTGTCAACCTTTCTCAAAGCCATAATGGCCAGGCCTCCCCAATCTTAAGGTGCCAAAGTCCGATTTTTAAGAGTATTTGGCGTATGATGCCCAAGGAAGGCAGAACACTGATTCTTTGCCTATGAAAGAATCACTCCTCCCTTTAAAAGCTCCTGCCACGGTATTGAGAATAATGCTTTTTATATAATTAGTTCACAATCTCACATTGACATTGCACTTTCGACCATTGTATCTACTTAGTTGCTAGTCTGTTAACTAAACCTTTATTAAGTATCTCTGGTCTAGCTACAATCTGAGTGTCCCTCCCCCCCTTAAATATTTATAAGGTTTCCCAATTATTCAAACGTAATTTTTTCCGTTAATATTTTAGAAGATATCTTCAAGGAATGTATGGAGATGGAGAGATGGTTTTTGTATGTTTATTTAAAGACTCTCCTTTTATTAACAAAATCTTAAACCTTCGCATGTCCTAATCTATTGATTTTTAAGGACTCTACTTGTCTCCAGGACCAAGCAAAGCATTGCATGGTTTAAACTAAATAAGATTTTATCAAAATCCCTTTCTTACCTATGTAACATCAAATCGTCTTACTTTCACTGTCCTTTTGTCAATTTTAAGTTCCCTCCAATCATTATTTCAGCTCTTAAAAATATATACATATTTTTTTTCACTTCTTCTTCTATCTCTTTCCATCTACTCCTCTTTTTTTCACCTTTTTTTTTTTTTGATTTTACAAATAATTTTTCTATCATTTTTCGTAATTACACAGGTTTGGGAAACTAATGAAAGAAGATGATGAAGAAGTAGGATCTCCAT